AACCGGGAAACAATACTGCAAGTGGGGAGGAGCAGTTTGGCGACGAATGAGGATCAGAGGAACAAGGACTGTCGCTCCCGGCGCGTCTTTTTCGACGCGACTTATTGTGCTGTTCTCCTGAATGTTTACAGGCTGCTAAATGCATGCCCTCTATGCCCGGGTCCTAGCATCCTTCCTCAATGTCGGCTTCCGCTCCGACCCGCCCCACGAACAGATTTCTTTCCCCCAGCCTACTCCACGGAACGATTCCATTCGCCAATCCTCCCCGGTCGGGGAGGAACAAGGCTGCTAAAATTTTCTATTCTGAAATGGAACGCTACAACAGCAAGTGAGCGACATGCAGAGAGCAATAAACGACGAACAAATGGATTGTTACCCCCTCTCGTGTACAACGGCGGCGTTGTTGTTGTTGTTGCTTTGTGTCACCCTCGTCGTACACTAATCACTCTAGCCCGCAGAGCACTCATTCCCCAACTCCTGCTCGATGTTCGGAGCCGATCTTGCAAGGGAAATATTTCATCTCGATTTCGCCGAAGACATTGGCTCATGACGATTCGATTGAACGAGAGTCGGTAGAACCTTTGTGGAAAATGAATGACGGAAGAAGCCAGAAGTCACTCGATGGCAGACCTGGAACCCCGGGAATCGGGCTTGATCGGGGCGAGGAATCGAGATCGGGGTCACACACCCAGCTGCGATTCCGATCGCTTGCCACACCGGCTCACGCCCTCGAGGGAGCCGAGCGCTCTAATTGTTTGCCTATAGCTCGACTTTCCCCTCACCTGTCGTCTCTCGAACTCTGATTGTCTGTCGGTCGCGCTCGATGACGAGGCTACGGCGTTATTCATCATGACAAACTTCAGATACGGATCCATGGGGGCGGCTGCCCTCCCTCCCTCCGGGATCCGAGCACGATTCGATGAGCATTCGGGCTGACTGAGGTATCGGTAGACGGGGCGGAAGAGGTCTGGCGGGGAAATATGGAGCGCGCGAATATGGTCGCGAAGGCTCGGCTGCCGTTGGCAGCGAAAAGCAAACCAGTCGGATGAGTTGATGGAAACTCGATGGAACTGCGCAATCTTCGGAGATAGATCGCAGGTGGAGAAGGGACAGCCTGCGATGAAATCGGGCCCTTCGGGGTGAACACGAGCGCGCTCGGGGCCGAAAAGCGACGCGCTGAAAGGGGCAGCGACAACAACAGCCTCGGGCGAGATGGTTGAAATAGAAGTGAGAAGAGAATCAAAAGAGAGAATGCTTCACCAGCAGGCACGTAAGCAGGCAGGCAAAGAGTTTATTAGAATAATTGTAGCTGACGACTACCAACTATCTACTACTGGTGCCTGATCCCGCTTCAGTCGAGCTGTTGGAGTGTCTCTTCCCCGCTTTCCCGTTCCATCCGTATGTTGTATGAAAAGGGCTCACTGCGAGACACTGTTAGTTTGATGCCGACGATAAGGGAAAACTGCGAACTGCGTTTCTATCTGGTTCTCGTTTGTTCTCGCTGTCGCTCCTCACCTGCTGGACCGTCATAGCGAAGGGGGTGAGGCGGGGGGGGGTTAGGTGTGGGGGAAGAGAAGGGGCGGGGGACTAGCGGCTCTTATTTGATAGCAAAGCGCAAATAGCTCAAGAGTTCGTAAGCGAACATCATCACCGGCGCCGTGGTTGTCGTTGTTGTTGTTGAAAGAATGCTCAATGTTGGCGAGATTCCACCCCAGCCCGACCCTTCCCCTGTGCTGTTTGTTTGCCAGCACGTTGCTCGCCTGCAGCGAGCGGATATGCACTGCTTGTTGTTGATAAGTCAGTGAAGAGGATGGATTTGATAGCACTTGTTTATGGCTTCGAAATGGGGCTTACGGAATGAGGTGTTGAGTTTTATTTCGGTGAGACGCGGTGCGGGGAGAGATTCGGTGACTGGGAGCAAAATCTCGGATGCTAGGGTGGTCTCTCTCGGTATTCGTCATTTTCGTCATCAGAGAACATGATGGCGGGTGGAACATCCGAAATGACGACATCCTCTTTTTCGTGCTCACTCATTTTTCTCTCGGTTAGTTTCTACTTTGGCGAAGTCGGGCTCTCTGTCAAAATAGTGCCACTTCAAAATGAGATACGACCGTGCTTGATGAGAGCAACTCGAGAGCGCGAACTCAGTCAGAGAGGACGAACGGACGGACGGACGGAAGAAAGCGAGCGAGCAAGCGGGGCAGAGAGAGAGAGGGAGCATGCCCGCACCCGAGCATGCAGGCATGCATGCATGCGTAGGGAGAAGACTCACTAATTCCAGCGACAACTACGGCATTATCATCAAGTACCGAAACCATGCAAGCAAGCAGTCGTACATTCAGCCGCAATCTCTGACGTCTCTTGTTCGCGGCTTCTGACGCGAGCGAGGCGCCGTACGGGACGGATGGGAGTCGAAGAGGAATTAAGCTCGGGAGCGGGAATTCTCTTCTCCATTTTGACTCTTTGTTTCGACAATCGAACGTGCGTAATTGTTGGCGATAACGGCTCTCCGCACAACGAGGGACATTGGAACCAACAAAAGCTTATTCGCACTCCGGAGATAGTTCTCACGACATATGTTAGTCTAACCGATATGGCGTTCTCGACGCAATCGGAATGTGGGTGGTCTACTGCGGTATCCGCGCCCTGGATCGAGCATGATGGTTCGGCTTCCGTCGAGGATCTCGGATAGCTCGACGGAATCACCGCCATCGAGCGGGGCCGTTCGGAACGGGGTTTGCCTCCATCCGCTCGGAGATCTTCGCCGTATGGGAACAACGGAGCGTTTGACTGATCGAGTGACCTTCCTGCCACCGACTGCCATACGAATGGTCGACAGTGCATATAATTCAGACGAAACTCTTGAATACACGTCGAATGCGCCTTGAACAAAAGAGAGGAATGGGTTGCTGGCAGGCAGCTGGAGAGACAGATATGTTGTCTTGCTTTCATTCTTTCATGCGTAGGCTGAAAACGCGACCGACGAGGGGTGGTGGAAAGCGACACAGTGGAGAGTAGAGAGTCCGACCGACCGACCGAAGTCTGAAATCTACTAGATGGCAAGCCGACCGGCTGGCTGGCTGGCGGGCTGGCAACCTCACATGAGACTTAACGGCTTCGGAGCCAAATGGTTTGCAAAGAGGGTTAATGGTAGAATGTCAGCAACCGAAAAGCAAGGCGACGCAACTCTACCAACAAACTTACGGAGAAAGCAACTACCCGGCGGACCGGCCAACCAACCAACAATCTGTCCCCGCCTCCAGCACCCATTGCATTGCAGATTCGCGCGTCCGTAGATTTTCGGGGCCGAAACGATCCCGCTTGAAAACTCAAATGACTTCGACTCGACACAATTGTCATTAGTGATAAGTGATAAACTGCTCCCAGCTCCAACTCGCTTCACTCCTTCCTGATCCATTGGAATGCGTATTTTCGCGTATGATCGGGCGCTCTCTCTCTTCGTTTTGGATCATTCTATGTTTCCAAAACGCAGGGGCATAATATACATACATGCGGACTGACTCGATGGTGCTTCAGGCCCATTCGGGGGTCAAAATTTCGCCCAACATACTGCCGAGTTGATTGGAGGGTCAGCCTCGTTCGTTTTGTTGAAACGAAAGAATGAAGTGTGTCAAGCCGGGATACGTATCAATTAGAGAAGCGAACTCGTCCTCCCACTGGTCGGCGGGGGAAAGAAACGAAATAGAGGTCTTTCTGTTTCGACGTACTCCCCCATCTCGGAGCCCAAGGCATACTTTCCATTGTATGCATCTGCGGCCCGCTTCCGATGCTCTGCTGTGAGGAGCAACGGACAGCAGTCTATTCGCGGATCAAAGGGGATTGACTGCTAGGGCTCTCTCGTACCCACTCCCGTTCAAGCGGGAGAAACGCTCCTTAAATATTTTTCCACCTGAGAATCTCAAGGCCTTCCTGGAAGAGGAAAACCGCTCTGCGGGAAGACTCTCGAGGGGACATTCTCCTCTGCCGCGACTCATTCAAGGCATTGTCGAAGCCCGGGTGCCTCCCGGAATAAGCAAATATCAATGATACCCACCGAGTCAGAGTGCAAGATCGTTGAAGGATTCGTTGCGAACGAGTGACGGTCAATGCAGAGGGAGCACCGGATGGGGGGAATAGACCGGGACAGAGGACCTGGACCGGGAGAGGAGTAGCGCTGGTGGAAGAGGAAGGCTACGAGCAAACGCGTTCGTTGTTTCATCAAAGCGAAATGCATGTGACAATATCATTACCACCCGTTGACAGGCGAGTCGGGCAGCAGTAGCAGCAGCAGCAGCAGCAGAAAGAGCATGCAGGCGCTAATCATAACATGCGAATTATTGTCATTTCAAACTTTGAACAAAGCGTAGGTTGCTCACTGTTGGCGAGGGTTGGGCAAATTTCGGGGGTCGAGAGTTGGCAAAAGGACGACGAGCGACGCTTCGAATGGAACGGCGAGCGAAACGAGAGCGGGGGAGTCGCGGACTTGAGGGCCACATAGGCAGCAGCAAAGGAGGGGCAAAAATAGAAGGAGGGACAGTGGAAGCCGAAACAGCTAGCTTGATGGTAGGCCTTCTCGCGCCGAGTTGTCGTCGTTCGAGTCGAAGTACCAACGACATTTTGGCTTGTGAGCAATTTTACTTTTAATTCGGTTTGTTGTCGTAGAGCTGTCGAGGTTTTGAAGGGCGGACGTGCCCCGCCACACTTGAATGCATGCACCAATGCATAGCTCACTGGACAAGCGACACCGTTGTGGACATCTGCTCCGCAGATCGCCTTCAGCTGTTGGTCAGAGCTCCTTTTGCTCCTGACGACATGCGTTTAACTCCTGAACTATCCTTACCGCGCTCGCGGCGCCGGGCGAGACACCGCTCGTCTCCTTCGCTCCTCACGCGCCTCCTGTCGGTTGGGCTTCCATGACCGTCAGGGCTCGCCGCGGGGTCGAACGAGTCGAACGAAAGCTTTTAATGACCCCGCGCTCACAGTGTTCTCCTCTGTTTCAGACCACACGTGACGAACCCATCGACGACGATGACTACGGTGCCGATGAGGAGGACGACGAACAGGAACTCGATCTCCGAAGATCCCCCTGCGAGAACGGATCTAGTGGAGGCGATCTCTCGGATCCTCCCAGCCACGTATCCAAAGATCTCAAAGATTCTCAACAGGACCAGCTACAGATGTCCGCGGCAGCCCTAGCGACAGCTCAGGCGATGTTCGCGGCAGCGGGAAAGGCCTCGGATAGACTCCCGTCTCTGGGCTTCTTGCCGGGAGCTCACGGCTTCCTCAACGCACAGGCTCATCTGCAGGCTCTCCGCAACCCAGCCTTCCTCCAACTCACCCAGAATCTTGGACTGCCCGATCCTGAAAAGCAATACGGGTTCGACAGTCAGCTGAAACAGGTTGGTGTATGTCGTAGCTGTGATCCTGCGTTCGGGTTTCCCCAATTCGTTACCGAATGAGAAATTCGGTTTCTGACGCGGGTCGGGTGTCGTCTTGGCTGAGGATGCAGATCATCTAGTTAAATGGGAAGCTCGAATAGGGAGCGATAAAGATCTAATCGAACGGGGGTTCACGAATAGCCCCGACTCCGTAAATTCTGTTCCCTCAACGCGTAGCGCTCTGATGACGTCTCGAGGATGAACCGAGTCGTAATGAAGGCGAAGGAAGGAGAAGAAAAGAACGGCGGACCATATAGATTTCGCTCTGAGAAATTCGGACCAGAATAGAGCGTCTCGCTTGACGATACCAAGATCATCGTTGGGCAGACGGACGGACGGCCGAGCGGGCGGGCGGGCATGCGGTCGAACGCGCAGACAAACAGCCGTCCCGATAGACAGAGAGACCGAATTTGAAATTAAGTTGGCGACTCGCGCGCAATGAGATCGTGATTCGCCAGAGCAAATATTAATTACGATTCAGTTGGCTTTCTTCGCTCGATGTTCATTCGTTTATTTTTCTTCTGCTACGGGATCTGTCTGTGCGTTGAATTCGTTCGCTGGCTGACTCGACAGTGTTCATCGTTGGTGAGCGATGATGGCCTGGAGTGAATTTATCCAGTCAGCCAGCCAGCCAGTGAGCAAGGGAACATCGAGCAGAAAAATAACCACCATAGCCAGTCTCTGATGATGGCTGCGGCGGCAACTGATTTCTTGCCACGATCCGAGCCAGTCATCCAACAGAAACCAGAGATCGTTGATCATTTGTTGTTGCTGATGCCGTTTCTTTCATCATCGAATAGATTGTTTGCTGTTGTGTATTCGATTCTGACTTAATTTTTTTCTTCTCCCGTTCTTCGCTCGCTCGTGCCTTCTCCGGCAGGCAGGCAGGCTCCTAATGCTCGGTTTAATTATTTTTGCCGCTTGCAAATATTGCGTGGGCGGCCAGGCCATGTGTCGAAGGTAGTCCCGGCCGCGAACGAGCTTCGCCAATCACCTGAGCATTCACGACAATGATTGTTAAATAGGCTAAGCGGTCCGACAGCTCGTATTCCCCCGACCGACGCTGGCGGCTCGTGAGTTATCTCTGGGAGACTCTCCGGAAAATTGTCGAAAGCGCCCGACCTTCACCGAAGCAAACGTCGAGGTGACGGAACCCCTGAGGCGACCGCCTAGCGTTATGAAGATGTCCGATCCAGGTTTCACTCCTGGCACACTGAACGAGAAGAGATCGCGATTGCCGAGGCTTGAGAATTCTCGAAAGGTGAATGACAACAGAAATAAGTCTAGCTCACAAAACCCTTGTCCTGTGATGAGGATGACGAACTTGGTGCTTGCAAGCAACCTCTGTCTTGGGTGAGAGCCATGCGACGGTTGAGGGAAAAACGCCCGTCTAAAAACGAATTCTCCGACTTGTCACACCGTCGGCTGCTTCCAGCCGCCGGGTACGTTACCGCCCGGGCGGTCTTCTGCCGATTCCGAAAAAAAAACATCTAATGAGTTGACGCAGTCATAAATAAACGGACAGCCTAGACGAAGGAACAAATGTCGTCTAATTGAGTGAATGAAGCGAGTCGGCGATGGATGCGGCTGCCGCGCTAAAAACGCTCCGACACCGTTCGGTCCTTGCATTTCACGTTCCGTACACAGACCTGTCATTAAGGAGCCGTTGGTGAGAGAAAAACGCAAGCAGAACTCGTCTTCATCATCTCGGTACGGCATCGTCCCGAAGCGAGTCTGTTCGCACAGGGTAGCGGCGCGTTCTGTCAGCAGACGGCTTAGGCTCTGAAGCTCCTTGCCAATGGAAATCGGATTCATAGCGTTGCGATACACACTTAGTTGGACGAAGAGTTCAGCTCGCAGTTCTGCTGTCTGAAGAATTCGTCACTTGTCGAGGAATTTGTCAAAATGATGAACTACAGTCGTTGCAGAAATAAGGGTGGCCCACAGTCGACTTTGTTGGCGAACGGCAACGTACATACCGGCCGCCGCTGCCACCGGCGGCTCACCAGCGTAAGGGGAGGCATAGCGAGAGATCCGCTGCAGGGAGTCTTCGGCGATCGGGGACATCTTCATTGAGCGGAGCGCCAACTTCATTTTTCAGCCTTCTCTCCCGTCTTCGAATTCTTCCTTCCGATCATGCTCCCCTACATATTACACACCTGGTACAGAACTCCTACATATGTGGCATCGTCGACAGAAATTGAATTGATGACATCAAAAAATGGAGACTTTAAATTCTCGCCGATCCCACTCAGAGAAGCTCATGGATCGATGAATTCCTTGATCCGCGCAGGTCGGCTGTGTGGTCGACCACGTGCTCTCGCGTCGTAGCGAACTGCTGGGGATCCCTGCCGATCCGATTCTAGCACCGTAATCTGGGAATGTCTGAAGCATAAAAACGCTTGGTGATGTATCACCGCTTCAGTCAGTCGACAGGAAGTTCTTCTAGAACGGGCGAAAGGTTGTTAAGGTTGGCTTCGATCTTCTCTCCGGATCGCTAGATTCGCGCTAGTTGGCTTCTTGGTTTTTTGATACCACCAACGAGCGTGGACATCGTTCGTGAGTGGGAGGTGGAGCCGCCTGCTACAGGGAGATGTCGGTTCATGTGTTCGTCCGTGCGTCCTTCCATCGAGCGAGCGAGCGAGCTACCTACCCGAAAGGAATGGAGAAGGTAGAAACCGATAGAGGAATAGGAGAGAAAAGTTGGCAGCGAAAGCTTTCGCAGAGAGCGCCGTAGAGAGAGAACAAGCCGCGGAGAAGAGTTCATCGCATCGTGTCGCCGGGATGAACCGAGGCCCCTCACTAAGTATATAAGTAAGAACAGAGGGACGAGATCGGCCGCTGTGTTGTGCCCGGCTATTTAGTCGTGTCACACCTTGGTTTCTGACACTCCGCCATGGAGGAAACATTCGGGCCCCGTGGAGGGTGCGGCGGCTCAAGCGTATATCGAAACCTGCAGCGGAAAGACGACAATTCCTCCTTAGAACTTGGAACTTTCTCAGACCTCCACCTGCTTTTCCGTGTTCCGGAAGCCTCACGATTCGACGGGAATACCTGCGACCTTCCGCGGTATTGGAAACCTCCAGGCGTGCAAGATCAAGCCGGCCCCCGGTCGGGAGGATCGTCTTTCGAAATTAACCGAAAATCTGGGCTTCGCCTCATCAAAAAGAAATTTTTTCTCTGTTCGATTCTCTCTCCGAGCGGGTCTCGTTTATTCGTATCTGGAATCTTTACAGACGATGCGGAGTCCTCCTCAATTAATAATAATCGTATCTGTCTCTAAGCGAGAGTCGACGCGAATAAGTCATGCTTTTCCCATGCCTTATCCGCGTTACCCTCCTGGATGCGAACTATCCTTCCGAACGACCGGTAGTCGCGCAGGAAGACACTCTGGTGTCAGATGTGTCGTTTATTAACTCGATCTAAAGGATCTCAAGCACGAGAGACGCTTGCCTGCTCGACTGCCTACTTGGTCTTTTGGTCGTCGCCACCAACACCGCCGCTTCAGCTGCTGCTGCTGCTCCGGAGTGCTGAGTGGAAGGGGAAGGACGGGACGAAACATTTCTCTGTCGCGGTATCAAACAAAGCTATCATTATTCTCAAAGAAAGCTGCAAAAAACGTGTTCATCCATTCAAATAAACGCGTCATTGAGAACAGGGTCGCTGGATAAACGCTTCCACGGCTGGCTGAAAGCTCTTTTATACGAACTCTGCCTCTGATGTCTCCGCCTTTGACTCGATGCGGTATCCACGGATCGAACTTGTGTGTACTCATGGAACCTTCGTTCCCCGATTCTCTGGAGTCTGGAGGAGCTCTGATCGGCTCTGAGCTCCGCGGCGTGGAGGCAGACTGAGCGGTTCGTTGATGAGATACTGGTCACTGCTCTGCTTCCGCGGCGATGCTAACGGACGATTCTCTCTACAGATTTTCGCAAGCCAGCAACAACAGCAGCAGCAGCCGCAAGGATTCAAGGCACCCGCACAAACCTCTTCGAATCCGGAAGATACTCCAAAACAGGTGAACATCCTCTACATTCTTCCGTCGAAATTTCTTGTGAATTGTTTTCCCCTTTGTTTCTCGGCTTCCTGCAGAATCGTCAAATTGTCCTTTGGACGGTAGACCGCGATCGAATTGCGCGCATTATGATTCTGGTTGAGATACGGCACGTCGGTTGTAAAGTCAATAGCGATATAAGTACGAGAGAGATAGAGCTCCGGTAGACGAGCGGCTCGGCTGGCGGACAGGCTCTTGCTCGGTCGGTGGAATGGATTGATGGATAGCCGGGACGGACGGACGGGCGGATGGATAGATAGATGAATGGTCGGATGGGAGGAGAGAGGAAGCAGCCGGTGGGCGAGCAGCCAGAAGACACCATTGGGCAGCAGACTCATATTTAATACAATTTTTTCGATCTTTTTCTTAATACTTTATCTCTGCTCGTTTACAACGGCTCTCTTCCTTGCGGCTGTAAGACTAGCAGGGTACTTTGGACTTTTTTATGACCCGGGTGCAGGGCTAAGCGAGCATTGGGCCCACGAGCACACAAAACGAAATTCCAGCATTTTATAGCAGAATAAATGCTTCCGAGCCAAACAAGCAAGCTAGAGCGACCACGATTTATAAGTGCTTTTCGAGCGTTCTGAGCATTTATCCCCGAACGTCGACTCCTCGTACATCGAAATGCTTCATGCGTGCATCTCTGCATGGTAGTGCAGAAGTAGAGACGCTACCTCGGCTCGCTATCGAGCCCGGAAGAAATGTATCGTCCAGGTTCTCCGAGACAGCGGCACGAAACAACCGGGATCAAACGGCCGGAAACAATGAGCTCATTCTGGCAGTGTGTCTAGCAAGTCATTAGCGATTTTTGATCTCGATTAATTTCGACCAGCACTGGCTGGTCTTCGGAGCGATTCAAGGACTATATACGATGCATAGCTCGGAATCCACGCGGCGCGAACCAAGCTCGCGCTATGAAATCTTTCTCTCTCGGACGGTGGATGTCGTAATCGAGGTGATAATCGTTCCCGGTTTACGGTACCGCCACGGTCGACTCGTTAGCTCAGTACTTGTTCATTCGCTCGTTGTCGGTCTCTCGGAAGGCACGTTCGCCTACTGATCTCGGGGTTGCTATTGCCGCCGCTGCCGTTGCTATCTATGCTTGGGGGCTCCAGCGCTAAGTAATAGAGATTAATGGTATCTCTTATCTCGTTGCCGTGGTCGTAGGACCTACTTTTATTATATTGTTGCTGCTGCTGTTGTTGTTGTTGTCGCTACTGTTATACGTGATGTTGTCGTGTCTGCGCCGTCTCCGACGATCTCGATCATCTGGAACGATTCTGAGGCGATCGCTCGGAACCGACTGGAATCAACAGAATCTTGTTCTCGACCGGAGTTCGCCCACCCGAATCCCGCTTGCTACCTTCAGCTTCGGGGTGACTCCTCCATGCTCCTCGACCTGACGCTTCCTCAGATACGGGTTCCCCCCTCGGATGAGAGGAAATACCGAGAGATTAGTGGCGTGGGAGTCCCAAAGAGCCATGAATGGCGCGGCCTGCCGAGCGAGAGCTGATCATGATTATATTGCTCCTCTACAAGTCAACAGGCGACTAAGTGTCCTCTTGTTTATGGGGCTCGTTCATCCCGTTTCGCATACGTTTTCCGCTCATTGAAGCGGCCGGATTCATTCGCGCGCACGCATTAGGAATAGAATAGACCAGACTTCTCCGATAGACGGAGAGCGTCGCCGACGACAGCCGATGATGCGGTCGAATGGCAGGCAAACACTCTAGGTAATAACGATGATGACACCTCGACATGATAACGCCTTATCTCTACGCCATTCAGCACCGAATGCGATTGAAGCGTTAGGTGAGCAATTGCCAATTGTATTCAGGGAGCTATCCGGCCAGCGCCTCCGTTAAAATCCTTGCGCGCTCATAGCCAGATACCACTGATGGTAACTTGTCCCTCCCACCGCGGAAGAGACTCTTCCCCGTCTCGATTGTGGCCGTAAGAGAGGGATTGAGGCTTCTGGTCGACGGGGCGTCACTTCGCCAAACATATCGAACGCTATCCATGACGAAAGTCTCGGATATTAATTTCCTCCGATCTGCAGGTTTTCGCGACTCCCGACTAGAATTACTGTTTCGAGAAGTTGTCCCATGCGTTTGGATGAGACACGCCCAGGAATACCGACACTCTATCCAAGACTTTCGGAGTTGGGTTCTTGTTGCGGTCTCGATGCGAAGCTATGTTGAGCCACTTCATCCATGCCAAAGTAAACACAGATTCTATGAGAGAACTCTACTGAATTCTTTGTTCGGCGGTGTCTCTCCGTTTTCTTCTTCATTTACACTCACACCGTCGAGGCTTCTCCAGTAGAGCAGATATCACCGTCTCACGACCTTGAGATCTCGGTCAGTCCTCACTTCCACCTATGGGGAACGGGCTTACCTATTTGGCGTGATACAAGCGGAAAGCGGGCGGGCCAACGCCGTCCGACCCGCCCCTAGGTCTATTTATTTATCCGTTTTTGATTCGATTTCGATAGCGGGAAAGATCTGCCCATAAACATCGGGGTTTTTCTGAATGGAGCCGTGTGAATGCTCTCTTTGAGTGAGTGAACTTCGGAGACGATCGCGGCAAATCGATCCGCGCATTTCCAATTACGAGAAATTTTCGATAACTCAATGAAGGATTCGCTTGACTCCTCGGGTGGCTTTGTTGCTTCCACGAGGGGAAGTCGGTCAATATGCTTTTGACGTCGCCGCGCGCGCTTTCGGACGTTAATGCGTGCAGACACTCTCGTACATTTCGACACGGCTGTCATCGGTCGGATGGTCTGCTTCGGAAGAGTGTCAAAAGCGCGACCAGAAGAGTTGTCGAGGTCCCTCCGCGCTCGGCCTGTTCGCGTATTGTCTGCCGGTGATTTTTTGATTGCCGTGACCGAGCGGCCGGTCGGCCAGCCAGCCGGCCAACCAACTGGTCGCCCACGCGTGCTTACGCGCTCTATTTTTGTGACATTGCATCTCGTTTGAGATTTGACGCTTGTTTCTTCAACATTGGGCGAGACCGATGGTACTCCGCTGGAACGCGTCCGGAAGCCGCGCGTGACAACGGGAGCATCATCGATCAATCTATCCCTCCGACTTCCACTCATTCTACCGTGGAGTAGTCAGGGCGAGACACTACGATCATTAGTTTGCTAAAACGGAAACTTTTGTTTCAGAAGTCGAGCACAGAGTTCTGCCGTGACTTCAAACTGGTAAGCAGCAAACCCTTGTGACCGATCGAGGCACGCCTCTGATCACGTGCGATCGAGCTTCAGACGAGTCAGAGAATACGGCCTGAGATTTGCGCGTATCTGCTCTCGTGGGATTTTTCGAAGTGTCCAGAAGTCGAGTGTTCGGTTAGAAGCTGATCTCACCCCAATGACTCCTTGTTAGAGCCACCGCGGCCAATCTGGGACGAGTTAGTGACCCAATAAGTGACGACAAAAAGCGTAAGAAGCATCCGACCGACCAATCGGATGGTTTGTTGTTCGTCGGTAGCTCAGTCGGCCAGCAGTTGACCGAGACAATAGAACTTGTCAAGATGTCGAAGGAGCTGCGAAGCCGAGGACTACGAAGTTCACAATCGAAACCGAAGACATTGCTCACTGGGGCACATCATTCAATGAGCAGAACGTCGGCTCGGACCTTCCGAAGTCTCACTCGGATGTGCCAGGGACGCGATCCGCTCAGCTCTTATTTTTTAACGATCATCGCCCGCCGATCGCGTGTTTCGGTACGATTTCGCTTAACCTTGTTCCGGGGGAGACGGGTCCCTTTGTGAGCCTTTGCACATCCGCACATATTCAGGATCCAGTTCACATTTAGATACACCCCGGACCCGATTTGAGGGCTTTTCCCGATCGCCCGCCGCAGGGCGGGAGGGTAGGTGGTTCGCTGCGGGAGCGGACTCGCAGAAAAGTTGCCCGCTCGCTAGCCCGCTCGCTGGTAAGCGGGCACGGGAGGCCGTCGTTCGAAGATGTAAATCGGCATATTTTCGAATCGGTCGGTGCCGTTCGTCAAGTGGCGCGCTCGTACATCTGTCCATCAATCTATCTTCGTTGGTCCGTTCGTCGCCGGCGTCATCATCGACGGCTGCAACAACGGCAGCGGCTTTCTTCGTGGTCTCTCGACCTGCGAGCGAGTCTTCATAGAAACGACTATGATGGTGATGATGATTGTGATGTCGGAGCTGCAACAGCAGCAGCTGATGATGATGACGATGATAATAATGCCTCAATGCTCAGAGGCAGCGCGAGAGAGGAAGACGGGCGAGCGAGCTCCATTATGGTCCCATTATGGAGAAAAGGTTTCTTCATCTTTATCCTTTTCATCTGGAATAAAGAAGGGACAAGAAGAAAAAGCGAGCCAATATCTCTCGATCCTTCACTAGACTTGACTCTGTTGAAGGCGGGCAATCCAAGTGGTCGGGAGCGAATGGCGTTTGACTATTGCCTTTTTCGTCTTATTCTCCACTTCTTGCTTCTTTCTTCTCATTTTCCATTCCTCTCCACCTCCGGAAAGTTTCCTTTTTTCTTTGCCCGGTACAGAGTGATATTCCGCATAGCGCTCGGCGGCATTCTAGCCTGCATTGTCTCTCCCTTTTCGAATCTATTGTGTGGCCGCGGTTGCCGTGACTGGAAGTCGATTGATTGAATCGACAGGATTGGGATCCCATGAGGGTACTTCCCAGCTTTATTTTGTCAAATCGTTCCCCATTCTCGCTCTTTCTGCTGTGGGCGTGAATAGCATCCCAGAAATCGCGTCTCTGCGAGCACCGGGGATATTTCTCTAAAATTGAAGTCACGCGCTGGGCTCTGGAAGGAACCCGATCCAACCAGGGAGGAATAATAGTCTCCAAGCCCAAAAGGTCAATTCCAGGCATGCCGTCAACCGCAGAGCAATCGAATGACCGGTGCTCGTTCCTCGATCGTTCGCTAATCTGAGGCGACGGCCATGGCACTACGGAGCGACGAATGCCGATATCAGCGGCTCCGCGGTTCGCTTTGGAGGAGCTTTGTGTTTATTCGTCAATTTTCGTAAGGTGTGAGAAACGGTCATCAACGCTTATGGCGTGAGATCCGTCGGCATGGACTTGAATTCTTTCTTCTCACATCTCGGTGGACGATTTATCACAATGACAAAAAACGGAGGAAAAGGAAATAGAAACTACTCTTAAATTCAATCAAGCTAACACTGAGAGGCCAAAAAAGCCGGGGAAAAATCAGAAAGAAACCGGCTAGCCGCGACAATGCTCTGCCAATTCCTTCTGTGCGACCATAGTTCGTAGCCACAATTTCGTCGGCCGAATCTTTTTTTAGATGACGTTTTGCGCGGATCTGAACGCTACTGAAGAAGTCATTCGCTGAATCATTCTTTATACCAGTGGAACTCCCTGAAAATTCAGTATTTCTACGAGTATCGACAGTCTGCCTGAGTGTGCCCTACTCAATCTCGGAGCAAAGCAGGCCAGCGATAAGTCGGCTCAATCGGATGCGCCTCCTCAGCGAATGTTTGCCGCGGCGTGGAAAATTCGGGATGTACGAGTTCCTATTAGAATTACAGTTTGGTCGAGGATGAGCTGATTAGTGCGGAGCGGGTTGTTTTTTCTCCTAGTCCTCACTCGAGCCACGCTCTCATTCGAGCGTTCCGAGGCGCTTGCATTCGATGTATGTACTCCCAAGTCCGAGGCGCGGTGTTATTGATAGCGAGGCATTTATCTTGATTCCAACGAAGGTTTCGGGGTCTTCTTGAACCAATTCTGATTTCCCGGTTCCCCATCTATGCTTTCGGGAGTGCTCGAAATGTAAATGATGTCCAACCAACGTTGACGACGAGGAAAAAACAACGAGACGTTCATTCCCACGCCCTCTCAGAAGGTTGAGATTTGTAAAGAACAAATAGCTCTTTTCTGAAACGAACTCGAAAGAAACGGACGAGCGAACCAGTCAGTCTGTTAGTCAGTCAGACAGACGAACGAACAGCGGAGCAACCAACAACCAGGGGAAGCTCTCAGACATTTGAGTCGGAACATAGCTCAGCTATCGGACACGCTTGTCGCTGGCAAATTCGTCGGTTCTGACCAACGGCATACAGAGTGGCCCTCTCGCGACTCAATCAACTCTTGTAAATTGTGAGTGGAGAGTCTCGGTGAGGACTCGCGTCTGACTGATTCGGGGACAGCTCGGTTGGGAAAAGAAGCTGCAGATTCGATATGGGACGGGACCGAATCTTCCCCCCCGCCCTTTTCGATCCGACACCTTGGTTAATCGCTGTACCGGGACCGCTCGTGTCGGAGGGAGATCAAGATGACAACGGGAGGAAATGATCGTAAAGTACCATTTTTGTGTCGAGAGGTAATTCGCTTCGTTTTTTCTCTCGCGGCTAGACTTTTCTGTGTATCTGTTGCCTCTTGGCTACCTTGGTTCTGCAGTGGACGCCGGCTACGATCGTCTCCCTAAATAATTGAGAAATGCGGCCGCCGGTGCAGCGTTTGGACCGCTCGATTCGACTGAGCCAACCTCGTGATCTCCATCTTATTCGTTGGAGCCACGGTGGCGTTCATTCCGGCTGATGTCCCGTCAGGGTGAAGTCGTCCACATTACAGACAACATCATGATCATCGACTTCAGCGACGACATGACTTGATTACGAAACAGACACGCATCATCTCGGCGCAGAAAACGTTTCCAGAGGATGAGGGATCATCGCATCACGTGTGGGGAGCTTAGCATTCGCTGTTTTTCTTTCGGCTCAATTTTTCCCCAGGCTTTTGTCGTTTTGACATGAAATCATTCGTCGTTGGAGTACGAATCCATCTTGCGAATTCTCATCGGATCGAGGCCGCTTGACACGGCAAAAATCGTGGCGGGAGCCGATCGAATCGCAGGAGCGTATTGACCGCAAAGAATTTCAATCGAACTCGATTGAGGCTTGTGTTCCGGAATGGATGCTTCAGCGAGGAGAGTGAGACAGCTCGGGGGGAGAAGGGGGGCTTCAACCACGTTTTGCGGTTCTGAGAAGGAATTCAGCTCCGAAATTTACAAAGCATCGAATGGCACCGTTTGAGGCTCCTGCTGAACATCCTCTGCGTCGAGAGGTCTTGTGTACGTCTTGTGCTCGGTGATCCGAAAGACTCAAAGTTATTCTTTTTATCTCGGCTTTTGAAGGCTTCTGAAAATCCTCGAACGAATGAAAGCATATTGCTGCAGTTTTATGATTTTGTCTTTTGGGCCTCTCGGCACCTGTTGTAAGATGACGAAGACCACACCTCGGATTCCTCCCTGTTCTCCTCCTCGTCTTCCTCCTGCTCCTTCAACTAGTAGTGACGCTTTTCGTTGTTCTGCCGCCACGTTTACTTCTCATCGACTTCCCCGTCCTCCTTGGCCAATAAACTCGAATATAAAATTGTTGTTCTGTTGTCCACACTGACTGACTGGGATGGACGGTCGCTGAGACGGACGAAGGCACGGAGCCCTCCGGCAACGCTGCTGCGCTCTTGATCTGCGGCTGGCTATGTATGTAATGTAATGTTCACTTCAGTTCGGACGCAGCGGCGGACGCGGCGGCGTTAAGCCCCCCGAAATTTTACAACCCTAGAACACTTTGTGCTCCGGGTCCGCCCTTGACGGATCTGAAGTCGCAGCGGCGGACGCGACCGAAAAATTCAGGAATCGCCGAATAACGTACTTTGAAGTCGCACCCGACGGAGATCTTCAACCGTCGGGCGCCATTCGAAAATCGAAAAACCGAATCGTGCCGTCGAGTGAGGCTTATTATGAAGATATTGGACCGGCGAGCGAGCGAGCGGACGGTCGAGCCAACGAAAAAAGGGAGGAGTCAGAGCTACCTGCCAATGTTGGCATCTTCATTCTTCCGCTGGTGCCGCCACCGCCGCCGCTGTTACCAAAACGGCCGCGGTCTGAGACTCGCGATCGAGCGGTCCTCCCCTGCTGTCACAGAAACGTCGAGTACTTGAATTTTCATTGACCCGATTCGGTCATTCGAACGATCAAAAATATCATTCAAGCTCCGTATCCGGACGATGGACTTTTGCGAGATCGTCGAGGTCCGACTCAAGTTCTTGAGACATTTCCTGAACCAGCGATGATCTCAGCACTAATCTTCCGCCGAAGCCCTCCCCGACAATCGGGACCCCGTTTCTCGCTCATCGCACATTGCACGTAACGTTTTCGTCGGAGACCCGCCAGGCTAACAGGTCGCTCTTCTGCTTTTCAGTTATACGAACTAAGCGATGACCCAAAACGCAAGGAGTTCCTTGATGATTTATTCGCATTCATGCATAATCGAGGTGAGTGCGCTGCGAGACGGTGCCGCTTCTTCTTCTTCGTTCCATTGTCCGTCCCTTCTCGAGAATATAAATGTCAGTTTTACAAGCTTAGATGGGGGCTCGAACCCTAGACGATGGTCGCTTTCATCGTAAATTTTCCGTCTTTGACGAAAGTCGTTGTCCGTAGCTCCACTCCGAGAACCTGTCAAAGCTTACGGGAAACAAATTTTCGATGACTAATGATTGATAATTGATGACTGGACTCCATCGTCTAGATCACCACAGCGTACGCGCCCCAACGAATTACGAGGCGAAGGCTATCAAAAAATCTGCTCGTGGAGTTTTCGGAGCGGGAGGGAAAGGAGGGGTTGGAGTTTCAACAACATTGGAATGCTGTTGGAAATTAGGAGCATCGGAAAATGCGTAGCAAGAGAGGTGAAAATCCAGTACAGCCTTTTGTATAATTTATTTCGAATCGTCAGCGAGCTCCGCGGCTGCACCCGGCGGGTGCTGCTTGCTTCGGAGAGCGAATCGATTCTGAGGCGACCATTATTGGTTTTACAACAAATAAATGAAAAGAATCGAGCGAACCCCTCCACCGTTCGACTGGCGGGCCGCGAGGGTGTGTTATCCGGGAACAACGAACGACTTCAGTGAAAAAACCGAAGAATTATCGTGTTCGATAAGTCGATTACGAGATGCGCACTGCCTCGGATTCTCACGGACCCGGCAAAGAATGATGCTGATTCCGATTGTCATGTCAGTCTCTCCGAAGATGAAGCAATTTCTGAAAAGTCTGTCCAACGGAGGGCCGGCGCCGAATACACATGAAACGTATCGATCAATCCGTCTATTTATCCATTTATCTGTAACCTCATCTATCTACCCAATCGTTCTTCGGTGCGAGAGATCGAGAGATCTTCCCGTTCGGACAGCGGGAATCGAATTCGATAGGTAGATCGACAGACAGACAGACGGCCGGAGAGATAGATCGAATGAGTGAGTCAACGAGCGAGCGGAAAAGGAACGAACGACGTTCAATGACGATGATGAGAAGGGATGCGAGGTGTGTTTTTTCTTCTCGTTTTCGTAAGTTTTAAATTGAGATATAGCAGACAGAAGAAAGGGAGAAAGAAGCACTGCTGCTGCTAACGAATTCGATTTGTTCTACGTGTTGATGTCGTCGTTGTTGGATGCCAGTGTAGGTCCGCCCGTCTGACTGGCTGCCTGGCACAAAAAAGAAAAATGAGTGATTCCTCATCATGACACCATGTTGAAGGAATCGCGAACAGCATCCAGCCATTTTTCTCGGCTTGACTTTTTGCGAGGGAAGTCGACGGCATCATCGATGCTTCGGATGACGCTCCGCGATGTGTACCTGTGTGTGTTTTTCATATTGAGTTGCGAGCGCTGTTGGTGATTTTATCTTTTTTCTTCGTCTCTGCATTGAGACATCTCGGGGAGCGCTCGCTCCCTGCTCGGCGCTCAGACGTCTGTATCGGCTTCGGGGCTCTGTTTCTTCATTTTTTGTCGAATATGTTTGTCATTTTTCTACCTAGTGTTTCTCTGATTCCTTTGAAGATGACTCTCGGTGCGGCGCTTCCCTACTCTGCTTTCCGAATCGGAGGCTCGTCGATTGATTCTATCGTTTCCAATAGCGTGTAATGTGTGTACTTTGGAAGCTGCGCGAGGATTAGAGTTCGGGAAATTTTTTTCTTCTTCGGTTCGGTTTTCTTCTCAATGCTCCCATTGAATCCTCGGACTCAGTCGACGGCCTACCGAGCAAAGTCGGACCAGTACCTTGTTGCCGAGTCGTGGCGACTCCCGTCGGAGCCTCACAGTCCGTCTCTCCCGGATCGTTTCGCTCGGATTCCCGTCAATGGATGAATGTATATATTTCGGCTGAAATGCTCAGATTATTAATCGAAGGGCTCACCCATCGCGTAAAACGTTCGCTTCGGATCTCGGATTCTGAAGCAGCTGCCAGCGATTTTTCTCTCTTCGAATACATCTGCCACTTCTGATTCCTCCCAACCACAGAAGATGCGTACACTGCTGAAAGCTGACCGTTACGCAATAGATCTTTAGAGTCATAGCGAGACATCAGTCGTATACGGCCTGTAGTAAGCTCCCGTAGTTCTCCCTTCGCGAATTTTCCTAAATTCAACGTAGCGATCTCGATCGCCTAAAGTGAGACTCACCTTTCCCGGGTGAATTCTCCCTCGAGAGTTCCGTTGACCGCGAGCCTGAACCTTGAGAGACGAGATATGTACCTATTCACAATAGGGTTTACATGCTTACCGCAACGCGCTCTACCTCTCTTCACCACGTGTTTTGTGTAGGTTGATGGCCGGTTTTCTTCCAGCGCAACACCACCGTTAGCATCGCCATCCTCTGCGACGCGCATCGGCTTCGGGCTAAAATCGTTGAAGCAAGCCGAAGCTCGTCCGGGTTCGAGGCCAATAAGAGTCTTTCGGCGTTGACAGATTTGTATCTGCGAGTACCGGCCCTACTCAGCGACGGCGTGAATGATATTTCGATTCGCGAATGCACCCGCTCAGTGGGAGTCATCTTTCGAGCAACGCAATATTGCCATTCTATTTCGAGTCCGGAACAGGTCGCCCTGGTTTTCATTGAGACACCTCTGCTGGTGGGAGCGACTTCCTCGTCATCATCCCCATCTCGATATCACCGGTATGATCGTCCCTATCCCATGTCGACGTTCATTCCCCGGAGAAAGATCCGAAAAAGTGTAAACATCGCAAGCGTGAAAAGGGCGACCGAGTAGTGGTGGGGTTGTTCTCCGTCAAGAAGTCCGATATGCGCCGTAAGCATAAGGAACATTGACCCTTTGAATAGTTGTCTTTGGCTATTGGTCGCACGCGTATTTTTTTACTTTTCTCTAGTCGAGTTGCTCCGCTCCAGTCGTTTCGTCTGCAGTCGATTGTCGGTGATGAAAAAATTAAAATGGAGTAAAGTGCCGCGCTAAAACGAAGACAGCCGAAAGCAGCAGCCATGAGAGTACAATGAGGAGCGAAGCAAAAGCATTTATTATTCCATTCTCTCATCTATTCTTCGTCCATCCATCAGTCCTTCCATCTATTCAAGAATGCATCTATCTGTCCATTTGCCGTGCGTTCGTTCGTTCATCGAACGCTGACGAGCGAGACTTTCAATTGGACTTCTTGTGGGATCGGACACAACGCGTTGAGGCGTTTTAATGAGAGCAGCAATTACAGATTTGTGCTGTGGCATTGATTTGCATCTGAATGCCTCTGTTCGTAAGTTTGACTGTTGCTCGTAGAGATTTTTTTTCTATTGGCAGTATGTGGACCGCCGGCTGCCGGCGACCAGTGGCCGGCGTTGGAACGGACGATCAGGTTGGCCAGCAAACGAATCGCTCCACTAGCCACGATAAAGGGATCAGACTTCCCTTTGTTACGTTTCATTGGCGGCTGCAGACAACAACAACGTCAAATGAACGTTCGTTGAGCGTTCGAACTGCCGAAACGCTACCTCCACGGCGGCCGGCGTCGAAGAAGAACACTGGCCTGACGTCGATTGTCGTTTGACGTCGATCTTTGAATTTATAATAATATTCCGCTCATTGAACTTTGGCTACCGTCCGCGGCTACCTCGCAACAGAAAATGCCAGCTCATTGATTAAAGCCCTTGCGGTGCGACACCGCTAAGACATCCGCTTTGCAGATGTTACGAAGTGAAGAGATTTTTTCTCTACAGCCGCCGCTACACTTGAGCTGGCTACCACTTTGTCCGCTGTGTTTTTCAGCTTTTCCTCGGTTCACACGCGGTTCCGCCGATCGATGCAGCCGAGTATCACACAAAAAGTTCCTATATCAGCTGCAGTAAGCCGTCAGGAATCAATGGCATTGAACAATCGAAATCAATCGAAGCGAGCCTTCACATTTCAATGCACCTCACGGTGGCGGATTCCCCGATCGTACGAGAGAATCCTCGAGCGTGCAGCTCAAGTCTGCGGTGTGGAGAAGATTGAGAACACGTGACTGCCAAGCCTAACGCATGCGGATCGCCGTCGAGATGTCGTTTCTGACATCGGGAAATTCTCGTCCGCCTATAAATTTGGGGTATCGATTATTATCATCGATTAATAACCTCGACCGAACTCCCCGGTGCGCGGCTTGAAATCTACCGACGACGCAGGTAAGGAGGAGAGAGACCGAGTCACTGACGTCAACTCTCGACTCAGACTTGCGCTGTTTACCCTTCTGAATCATTTGCCATCCGGGCGAGCCTTTCGAACGGGTATTTCATTCATCGTCGGGGCCGATGCGAATTCCCGTGAATATTGTCACTGTGGGAGGACGGTTCGTTAGGCCATCGCACCGTTTGTGTGTGTCTCCTCTGGTAAGCGTGAGTGTCTTTTACTCTGACGGGGGACGAGAGTCTCGTTCCGAAAGGTAGACCTTCTCTTCGCCCGGAAAGGAGGCCTGCCTGTTTTCCCGGCTGGCTGGTGGCTGACTTACTCACTGACTGAGTTTGTTTCTATCTATCCATCTAGCGGCGCAGCCGTCTACACAGCAAACACGCCGAAGATTAATAACATTTCTCCAAGCACAGTGTCACAGCTCGTTGTACACACAAAACCTCACGGCTCGTAGACTGTCACGAATTCTACCTTGTTCCACATAGCCCCGCTGGCTGAGCGCAGAAAGATGACGGAAGTCTCCCAATGATCCATAAGCTGTTCTGATTCGACGGTGGGGAACTATATTCGATATCCGAAACTTTTCTACAGTCGAGAGAATTTTTCCAAAGGATAGAACCGAATATCGGCCGGGCGAAGGGTTCAGAGTCCTCAGGATCGAGCTCGGAACCGACTCCGCACCGATATTGTTGTTCGGGGTTCAGTGGGGAGCTTGATTCACCTAATACGGCCGCCCCGCAACGCCATGGCTAGGTAGGCCAAAAAAGGTATTGTGTCGAGCAGATCATAAGTCCGAACGATTCGCCCGCCTTCGCTGTGGTGGTCCTGCGCATCC